TGACAAGTGCCAGAAGCACGGGGATATGCACCTCGCTCCCCCACACGAGCTGAACACATTGTCGTCCCCATGGCCGTTCGCCTGGTGGGGCATGGACATCCTCGGGCCCTTCGTGCAAGGGACCTATCAGAACAAGTTCCTAATCGTCGCCGTGGATTACTTCACAAAATGGATCGAGGCCGAGGCCCTCGCGAAAATCACCTCACATAACATCCTCCGTTTCTACAAAAGAAACGTGCTCGCCAGGTTCGGAATTCCGCAGGCGCTAGTGACCGACAACGGTACCCAGTTCACCGACCACGGATTCCGAGACTTCGTCACCAAACTGGGGACCAAACATCACTTCACATCGGTCGAGCACCCTCAGACCAACGGGCAAGCCGAAGCCGCGAACAGAGTCATCCTCCGAGGGCTCAAACGTCGACTCGGCGAAGCCAAAAGAGGATGGGTCGAGGAGCTCCACAGCGTCCTGTGGGCATACCGCACCACACCCCACTCAACGACAGGTGAAACACCATTCCGACTAACGTAAGGCACCGAAGATGTCATCCCAGTCGAAATCATGGAACCATCCCGACGAACGGAGGAACCCCTCGACGAAGAAATGAATGACGAAGCACTAAGGGATGAGCTCGACCTAGTCGAGGAAATCCGATCGGGGGCTGCCCTGCGCGAAGCAACCCTAAAACAACGAGTGGCTCTACGCCACAACGACAAGGTCATCAAGCGCGAGTTCGAAATAGGCAGCCTGGTACTACGCAGAAACCAGAAAGACTCCCGCGAAGGGAAGTTGGCCGCGAACTGGGAAGGACCTTACCGCGTCCACGGCACCACGGGTACCGGGGCGTACTACCTCGAGCAGTTAGACGGAGAGCCATTACCAAGACCCTGGAATGCTGCTAAGTTGAAGCAGTACTACAGTTAGAAACAGTCAACACCTAGGACCCTCGACCAAAAGCAACCATGCTCGGGCAACGAGGAAAAACGTCCAACTTCATTTAAGGCTAAGGTACAGGCCGACACACGACCAAAATGGCACGGCATCGCGCGGTAGACGTTGACGATCTATAGTGCCCGACGTGGACAGCTGTACCGAGCCCCACCGTTGTCGTACCCATAAGGCAGAACACCCAGCTCGCGATGGGCAGTTCACGCCAAGGGCGAATCGTCCCTACGGGCTCCACGCCCGACTGAGCAACCTCGCTCCGAAATGCCCGACATTCCATCAAGAATAACGGGACATCTACAAGGGTCAAAAGAAAATCTCTCCCCTCGAGCGCAACGCTTAAGCCACCCCGGCCAACCAAAATAGGTCCGGGATTGCACGCAAATGGAGACGAGCATAGTCGCTCGCCAAATCAGAGCCACCTACGGGCACTCCTCGGGCCCGGGACTTGAGTTAAATTCATACAAGCATGTGAGTTCATACAAGGGCAGAAAATCCAAAATAAATAACAAGGTATAAACGCCCGAAGGCAACAAAGCAATATTAAACCGACCAAGAAGGCCGGCGATGTTCAAAACATACAATGAACGGGCACGCAGGCCCAAAGAATACAAATTCAAATATCAAGGGCACGCAGGCCCGCTATCCAAAGAATACAAATATCAAACTTCCACATTATCATCATTGTCGACGCCGGGAGAGTCGGGCGGAGGAATGATCGCGCCACCTACAACCCGATGTGTATGACCGATACCCTCGGTGACCAGGCCGGGGTTTAGCAATGAGAGCTGGTCGACTGCAGAATTGAACCCGTCTTCCAGAGCACCGACTGCGTCCGCCTCGAGGAGCCGGATATGGGCAATAAGCTCAGCCCGACTCTTCAAAACCACTAGGTCCTCGGGCTCATCTTCGGCGGGTTGCTGAACAGCATTCAGTTTCTCAACCTGTTTACCCAGGCGTTCGACTTCAGCAACCAAACGATCCCTGTCGGTCCGGAGCAACTCCCCTTCCTCAGTCAACCTCCCCGACTTCTCCTTTTCCAAGGTCAGCATCTCCCTCTCGGCATCAAGTATCGCGGTCTGCTCTTGGAACATCCCCTCGGAGCGTTCCAGAGCGACCTTCAACTTCCGCGAGCTCGCAGTCAAGGCCGCCTTCTCCTGCTCGAGCTCTTCAACACGAGCAGCATCCCCTGCATCCTCAGATAACACCAGAGCCATTTCGGCCATTTTAACCAGCCCGTCCACGCTGGCGACCAGCCGCGACTTCCTCTCCTCTTTAGTCATCCTCTTTATGGCCTCGGCTTCATGAGCGACCACGGTCGGAGGGAACCGCTCGAAAAAGCCCTCCTCCTCGAAGCAAGGGGGGAAGGCAAAGGATTGAACAGCACCGGCATCTCCCCCGACAGTCGAACCGCCTTCCACGCGGGTCCTCTTCCTCTGCGTCAAAACGGCGCTGGCGTCAATCTCCTCGACCTCTGGATCTGACGCTGCTCCCGAGCTCGACGTCGAATCCACCCTCACCGGCTGAGGAACGTTCATGCTGGGCGGTGGTCCCATTCTCGTCGCTTGCGGGGGCTGCACGACCCTCTTGCCTCGCCTCTGACCGGTTGACAATTTCAGGAGCCTTTCATGTCGGCTGGCCATCGTACCTGCACGAAGTAAAAGAAAAGTCAGTATCGAGCAAAACGCGTAAATAAATGACGAGTAAAGAATTTCAAACAAACAACCTAACAGGCGGGCTGCCTGCCTATATGTCGAACATTCCACCAGCGCCTTGGTGTCGATCGGGCGAGCCTCGAATGTTGGGTAACCGTCCTTGTCGAGGATATCATTCCCTTCCCGTGTAACCCACTGGGCGGGATGAAAACTGTCGACAAAGTTGCAGAGAGCCTCATACGCCCGCTGATCCTCCGTGCACATGTCCCCGACTGCGGTATGGAAATAACCTGTTCCATGCTCGAAGTGTCGGGACATCCAGTACACCGGGAACTTAGCCCGACGTCCTAACACGGGGCTCCCATCGTCGGCCAACATTGCTTCCCCATCATCATCGCTGACCAGCCCTTCCTCCTCGAAGAGGGAATCTACAGCAGAGTCGGTAGTAGGGCGTACCACATACCACTTATCCTTGAACCCCCTCACAGAGTCCATGTACATCCTAAACAGTCTCCTCGACTGCTTCAGGGACACCCAGCTGTGCTTCCCTCCTCGGGACTGACGCTGTAGGTGGAATACCCGAAAGAAGAGAGGGATGGTCGCCCCTATCCTTAAGTAGCGACACGTCAGCTCAAACGCCCGGATGAAGGCGAGAGAGTTTGGGTGTAGCTGGGACGGGGCCAGCTCCAAATGCGTAAAGACCCCGGTCTCAAAGTCTGTGAACGGCAGCCGCATCCCCAAGTCTTTAAACGCGATCTCGTACATCGCAAAGCTGTAGTCCGGGTACATTGAACAAATTCTTGCGTTGGTCGACGGAAGCATGACCACGAAATTCTGCTGAAAGTCGGGCTGGTCCTGCCCCTCTTCAATAGCGGTGAATGGATGCCGGTCATCCCGACTGTAGATCGACGCCGTCCCCCGAGGCTCGGCACCCACCCATTCCAGCGATGGGTCGGTTACGGTATCTATAAGGTTGGCCGACTCGTCGGCACTCTGTTCTTCGCTATCACGACGACCCGAGGAGCTCGGCTCATCCGCCATGGTTACCTGCAGAGCACGGGAAACCAATCAGATTGAGCATGAAGTCCTATGCTCGACATAATCATGTCGTCCATACCTTACTACACAAGTCCATTTTCACAAGTGGATGCCTCCCCGACTCTCCTGAACCCAGTGTTCTTCCTCAAACCAACTGCGCGGCCATTCTTCAAGCATGTCGACCCGAGGTATGAACATCGCGAGCCGCACTATGAAGCCCACGGCCACGACCATGAACATACCGGGCACGGTCATGAATTAGGCGCCCGGATCATGAAGACCCCGGGCAGCTCTGAAGTTTTTCACCTAAAACTATGAATGTGTCGGCCTTAAGCATGCGTTTGCCGGTCCTAGACGTGAATATGTCGGGCAAAACACGAATCTACCGGGCTAATCCCACGCGCACGATCCTAAAACATCTACAAATTCCATGAATCATGCATTCTAAAACGGAAAAATGAAGAAAGTAGATCACTTACTTGGATCAAAGTTGGGATTTGGCTAAGAAATGAAGAATCTGAGACGGGAAGTCACAATTGGAGAGAGTGTTGAGAGAGCACGGAGAACGGAAAACGTATTATGGGGCCCCAAGGACCCTATTTATAGTGATGACGTGGAATACCAAACGTCACCTCGTTCAGCCACGGACTCCATCTCCTCGACGCACTGCTCCCAACGCAATGATGGCCCTACCCCCCTAGGGTGGCGGCACAACTCCCGAAAGATGCCTCGTGTGCTCGACTGACGCGCCCGACACGGATCCTCCACGCATCCACCACCGAGGACGTCTCCGAGCACGGCACGAGGAGACCCCTCGAGGGTCCACGCCTCCATCCCGGGCGCGAGACCTCAGCGACGGAACAACTTTGTTTCAAGTCATAGCTCCTCGCAAAGGAACCACGACTTAGGGGGCTCCTGTTCTGGACTGGGCCCGACAGGCCCAAAAGCATTACTAAGGCCCAGTCCAAAGGGACTCACTAAGGACCACACTGGGCAAAGGGGGTCACGTCCATGCTCGACACCCTGATGTCCACCTCGACATCTCGGCGTCCAGCCCCACGATGAAGTCATGCTCGACAGCCTGCCGTCCAGCTCTACGTCCTGGCTTCCAGCTCGACCCTCGCTGTCCAGCTCGAGGTCTTGGCGTCGAGCTCGGCACCGTGTCGCGTAGCTCGACATGGTCTCGAGCTGACTTGCTAGGGCAGACTTAGTCCTCCATTGCCCCAACGATACTCCGGAAAGACCGCGTCTCCATCCGCCCGCACTTCATGCAGCATATCCAGGAAGGGGACCACGTGCTGGTCCCCACTACCCACGTAGAACCTGTCAGTTCCTCCATTGGGCCAAATCCGCCCGGCCCAATGAAGGAACCTTGGCCCAGCGCTGGGGGCTATAAATACCCTCTGCTTCCAGAGGGTCAGGTATTCATCATTCTAACCTCAACTCTATTATCTGCTAGTACTCCCACTGACTTTAGCATCGGAGTGCCTTGCAGGTACCCCCCCCCCCCCCCCCCCTCCTCGTTCAGAAAGCCTTCAGCTCGGAGTAAGCCGTGACGGTCCAAACCTTCTGATCAGGTCAGATCAATATATATATATATATATATATATATATATATATATATATATATATATATATATATATATATATATATATATATATATATATATATATATATATATATATATATATATATATATATATATATATATATAATTTGAAATGAATAACTTAATTGAAAAATAACAAATAATTATATAAATTCAATTGTATTAAATAATCATGAAAAAGGAAAAAAATGATTTATGAGATGAAGAATAACAAATTGAAATAATATTTTAAAATAAGAATTTTATCTTTCAAATCAAAATAAATTGTTGACTAAAATAAATAGTGTTGAATAATTTGTAAGATATAAAATTATTTGAAATAATATAAAATGTATTTAGTTACAAATATAAAATTTAAAATAATCATATAATTTAGTTGTATTAAATAATTATTAAAAAAAGGAAAAAGAAATGAAAAAAATAAATAATTACTTGATTTAGTGCATATAATGTGTAAAAAAAAGATGATTTAAAAATTAATATAATTGATTTTTTATATACAAATATTAGAGTAGTTTAATAAAAGTGGGTTGTTATCATCGAAAATTTGGAGCAGTTTCAAAGTTGCCATATAAAAAAGTGGACATGATAGTCTTGGTTCACTGAGGAGGATCTTGCAACATACGGAGCTTTGTATGAAAAATTAGGATTTCGAATTGCATTGCAGGTCCCTTACAGGTGCTGCAGTTTTCTTTTGGTCCTCAGAAATGCGCCTAATATTGCTGTAAAGCGATCCCTGCTCCACCTTTTTATTTGTGTTTGTGAGTCATGATAGTTTTGCTTGCATTTGCAGATCATTTGGTGAAGACTTTAACTTGCCGGATCCTGTAGTCAAACTTCCAGCACTCCTGATAATGGGTGGGAAGGATTATGTTTTCAAGTTCCCAAGGATTGAGGATTTAACAAAAGGTGAAAAGGCGAAAGAGTTTGTTCCTAATCTGGAGATAACATTTATTCCAGAGGGAACCCATTTTGTGCAAGAACAATTTCCCAAACAGGTGAATCAGTTTATCCTTGCCTTCCTTGCCAAGCACGTTTGATTTGTGGTGGAAGTTTAGCAGTATTTTTTGATGTATGGTGAAATAAATGTGCAATAGCCATCTATAATGATGCGATTAACTTTATGGATCACCCTTGATATTTTGGAGTTTGCTTGATAGAATGGAATAATATAATATTTGTGATTCACTTGAGTTATTAAGCTCTGATTTTTGCACTATGGAATTATTTAAATTCAAGATAGGCAACAATGTCGTGTTTTTCGTTGTGCACAACAATTATAGCTAATGCTACTTATTTAAGGCACTTCTCATCCCTTACGAGAATCATGAAACAAAGTATCAATTTTGGAGTGGTATTTAGGATTATTAGGCGCATAACTAAAGCTCCTTTTTCAAATCATGAAATGATATTCAATAAAAATAAAAGTATCAACCCTGTTAAAAATATCTTCTTAGCAAAATCAAAGATTAAAGAATAAAAAATATTCCATATTTGAAGAAATGGGAAGGGGTTGAAAATCAAAGTTTAAAAGCCAAGAATAATCCCCATTTTCTTAACTTTTTACTTCAATGAGTTTCTGTTGGAAATCTTGGAATGATGACAACTTGGATTGGGAATTGGAATGATTCATTGACATTAAATGGGCAATAAATGAGCACATGAATGAACTAGTTTGTGAGTGAATTTGAAAGGATTCATTTAAGTCCCACATTGGAGGGAACACAACTTCTAGTAGTGCATAAATACTCCAACTTGGACACTTGGGTTGGGCCCCAAGGGGCACCCCAATTTTGTTAAGGAGTGAGGACACACCACTAAGTCATCTAGACACGCGCGCGCGCCGCCGCCGCCGTCCGTCCGACCGGCCGGCTCGGCTCGGTCCGGTCCGGTCTAGATGAATTAATTTTTTGAACCGGATTTTGGTGAAAATTAATTATTAATGATTATTAATAATTAATTAATTCGGTGGAAAAAAATAGTGGAAATTAATTAATATTTAATATTAATTAATTACGGAATTAGTGACGTGTCAATTACTTGCCTTCCAAGAGTCAAAACGCATAACTGTCTAACCAAGCAATAACAGTTACTTTTGACTGGGCCAATTCAACCCTCTCCCACGTTCTTCCTATTTTTTCGAACCGTTTTGTTGAATTAGTGATTATTTCATTTGCAAATAACTCCAGTATTCACAATCTCGTTTTTCACTTCTTCTCTCTCTCTATTCTGCTTCATCTCAATTTTCTCTACTCTGTTTTTCGACTGCTACTTTGCAGATACTACGAGTGGTTTCTACACCATCAGAAGGTGTTATTCATAGAACGATTTATCACAGTGCAAGTGATAATCGTATTTTATTCGAACGGGCTGTTTTATCCTGGAGACGTCGCCTATTTTCGACTGCCTTGCACTTTGTTGGCATCCGGCGAAACGTCTTAAAGAAAGCGTACCGAACCGCGACTCGACCCGATAAATTTCTCAGTGGCTACTCTTTTTTTTCTAATCCGTGAACAACAGTTTCTCTTCTCATTTTTATTTTTATTTTTCCTTTCTGCACCATCTCCTACAATAATCTATAAGAACAAAATTAGCATAAACAAAAACATGTGATTTGTTTAAATATAACCAAAATTAATATATAGCTTTCATAGCTCAGTTGGTTAGAGCACCCGTTTAGTAAGCGGGAGGTCTTGAGTTCAACTCTCAATGAAAGCAGATAATTTTTTTATGCTTATTTTCGTAACATCGGAAACGGAGCAATTTGTCTTGCTTTAACTTATGAGTTTAATCATGTTATTTGATTATGTGAATCTTTTTTCAACCATGCTATTTAATGTGTTGAATGTTTCTCTTCTTCTAACTTGTTCATAACCTTAAAGTATATAAGCATGTTATTTGAAATAAAGGTGTGATATAATTTTAGGCACACTAAGACAACAATTTCAATCACATATATTACATTTAATTGAACGACATCAACATATGTTATAAAAGTTAGAACTAAGTCTTATGTTATGTACATATCTTGTTTTGTTGATCATGGAATGTATAATATGCTAAACATTAAAGAAAGAGAGATTTAATAATACAATATGTTACACATGAATGGTGCAACCAAAACTTTTATTCTTCTCAGATCCAGGTTGCGTGTGAAAACTGAACATTTTTGCATCAATAATCCTGTTATCATCTCTCTACTGGTATTTTGTGTTGTGGAACAGTGGTGTATAAATTGTTCATTATTGGTTAGAAGACACGCCATTCAATTCATTAACAAAACTTCAAATGTGTTTGGCTAAGAAGGCAAGGATAAGCTGATTCACCTGTGGAGGAAATTGTTCTTGAACAAAATGGGTTCCCTCTGGAATAAACATAACCTCTAAATTAGGAACAAGCTCTTTGTCTTTCTAACTTTTTATTAAATCCTCCATCCCTGGAAACTTGAAAACATTATCTTTTCCACCAATTATCACCAGTGTTGGAACTTTGACTACAGGATCTGGCAAGCTCAAGTCATCACCAACTGTCCTACAAAATGCAAACAAAACAATTTACAATATCATTAACAAGAATCCACCTTTTACAGCAGAATAACTGTCTGTCTGATAATAGAATTTCACTACTGAAAAAAGGAACTAGAGAATGAGAGAAAACAAGTTAGTAGCACTTATACGGAACCTGCAGTGCGGTTCGGAATCCAGATTTCTCATACAAAGCTCCATAAGTTTATAGATCCTCCTCAGTGAACCAAGAGGGAAGAGGGGTATCAGGTTCCACCAAATCGATGATCTTCTGATTTTTATTAGCTATTGGAAATTCACTTCTCGAGAAAAGGATGTAAACTTTTCGCACAACAGTTTTTTCATCAAACCGTCCAAAATCAGCCTATGCTCTTCCTGGTTCTTGATACATAATGTATATAAACATATATACAAAGCCATAAAAGGAAAAGAAAAAATAGATTCACCTTCCATCTCAAAATGTATAAGCCTTCTGGGAGGTATTTATGAAGCATAGGAGGACCTGGTGGAACATATGGAACTCCCAGTGTGATGACTCCTAACACTCTTTCTGGGAGTAGAATGGAAAACAGATATGCTGGAGGACCTCCAAAAAATTTTCCAATAAGAAACACCTATACAGGTGCATCAAAGATTTAGTATATTGTAGCACCCATATCTCTGAAAATATGTGTCTTTGTCCGTCTCTGTATCGATGTCCGAAACCGACACGACAATTGTGACCATATTTAATTTATTCATTTTTTTAAATTATTATTGACGTCAACATGTCACATTTCCAATGTTTGTGCTTCGTAGATTAGGCAATAATATTAAGCATGTAGTATAAAGTATAGTAACACCATGGAAAATAGCGATAAAGTAAGAAGTTTGTACCTTAGAAAGAGAAAGAGCGTCGAGAATTGCGAGGAGATCGTTGACAAGATGAGAGAAGGTGGTTTTTTCAGGTGGGTAGCGGGTCAGAAAGGCCATAACCTTTGAAATCGAGGGCGATAACTCTGAATCCAGCAATAGAGAGGGAAATCGTCTGTTGGCGCCAGGAGTACCATATCTCAGGGAAACCGTCGAGGGATACGATCATCTGGTGGCGCCAGGAGCACTATATCTCAGAGAAACCGTGGAGGAATACGACGATGTTTGGACTTGAAAGATAGAAAAAAGATGTTTGTTTGACTTTGGTTCAAAACATTGAAAGTAATTCCTTGTATCTAAACAGTTTGATCGACATAGACAAGGGTATGTCGAAAAAATTTGATTTGATTTATAAGTGTGGAAATAATTTGTTACACACATATTTGATTTGATTTAGTTCCAAAATTGATATTTTGGACTTTTATAGTTTTGAGTTTTGCCTTAGGTAGAAAGCTAACCTAAATCTATAAATAGGGAGTAATCCCTATTTTTGTAATCAAGTCAATCAAATTGTATTCATTAAATTTTGCAGTTGCAAAGTGAATAATAAAGTTTTTCACAGTTTGTGGGCAGAGAGAAACTCTGTAGAAAAATCACTGTCTTATTTCTTTCTTTTATCTTTTATTTTTCATTGTCATTGTGTGGTGATATCAATCTTGTTTATCAAGATTGGTAGAAATTCATCATAGATTTTGGTGGATTTCCAACATCTGGTATCAAGAGCTCCGATTGAGTGATTCAAGGGAAGAACGATCAAGGAAGAAGAAGAATAAATTCACGATGGCGGTGAATTATGCTAACAGAAATTTTCCAGCAAGTCTCTAAATTCTTAAAGGTGATAACTATGAGAATTGGTCCAAACAGGTGAACATTATATTTTGTTTTCAAGGTCTTTGGGATCTTGTGAAACATGTATTAGAACCGCTTGATGAAGACGCTTCAGAAGAAGAAGAATACAAAGAATCAAAGAAGAAAAATTATAAAGCTCTCTTTATAATTCCCCAATGTGTCAGTCCATACAATTTCGAAAAGGTTAGTGATGTTGAATCTGCAAAAGAAGCTTGAGAAATTCTGAAGAAATCGTTTGGAGGAGCTGAGAAGGTGAAAGAGGTGAGGTTACAAACTCACAAAAAATGTATGAATTGCTTCATATGGAAGATAACGAAAGCATATCCGATTTATTCACTAGGGTTACTAAACTAGTGAATCAAACCAAGACTTGTGGAGAGACGTTAACAACAAGAGCAGTTCTTTCGAAGATCTTAAGATCTGTGGCTCTGAAGTTCGACCATGTGGTAGTTTCCATAGAAGATTCAAAGGACATGTCATCTTTGTTGAGGGAAGAGCTTCAAGGGACGCTTGAATCTCACGAACAAATAATGGTTGAAAGAGTTGCATGCAAGTCGAAGAGTGACGTGGCTTTGCAGGCTCAATCAACAAAAAATAAGAAAGACAAAGGAAAATGGTTTGACAATAAAGGTAAATGTGGCTACAATAATTCGACTGGTAGAGGAAATCAGCACGAAGAAAATGTGTCGAATTAGAGAAGATCATACCAAGGAAACCAAAGAGGTGATGTTGCGAATAAAGGAAGAGGTGGTGGTCGAAAGCCTAACAATAGTCATATTCAATGTTACAATTGTCAGAAGTATGGTCACTGTGATACGGTGGCAGAACCGACTGTTTATACTGGTTTGCATTTTTTGTTTGCAAATGTCACGGTAAGCAAGAGTCGCCACCGACTTTTATTTTATCCAATCAGGAAAAGGAAAAAGAACAGAAAAAACCTTTTTTGAGATGTTTTTGAGTACATATGGTAGATTATAGAAAGGGAAGGTGTTAGCACCCTTTATATCCGTGGTTTTCCACGGGCTCTTAGGTACTTGCTCATTTTGAAAACTGCTTGTTTGTGCTTGTTTTGAAAAGTTTTGTTTTACTTCGTATTAACCCTTGTTTCTGTCCTCAAGAGTGTTACGAAGTTGTTTTTGAAAACTTTGTTTGAAAAGTGTTGGTGTGAAAAAGTTTTTGTTTGTTTGAGCAAGTACCTAGGAACTAATCTACCTACTCGAAAAAGGTTTGTTCGTTTTCCTTTTAGACAATGCTATCCCATTATTGAGAAATAGGTAGCATCGTCGTTGGAGTTTTTTAGGGACATTCAAAGGGACATGTACGATCACAAAAGCAATGTTAGGAAATGTTAGTAATCATCCTAAAGCCTTAAAGATCTTTTTCTGAGGCAACATCTGAATGAGTTATTTTAGATCTTTCGGGGCTAGAGGACAACCACTAACAAACCCTATACTTTATGACCGTTTACCGAAGGCAACTGGAGTGGAGTAAACCCTAAGAGTGAGTATGTGCGAGTGTAATTTTCAGTTAATTTATCTTTGCACATTTAGGGTTTTCTACCGTATTAATTTTTAGTTTGTCTTTCCATACAATCCTATTAACATCTAGGCAGTTTATAGTTTGCGGAAATAAAATGCGGGAAAGTTAAAAGTCCTAACTATTACAAGGCTTTTGCAGATACATAATTATTTTGACCGAAAATAAAGATGTGGAATTGAAACCCTAATTACTATTACAAACTCAGAGCAGTTACAATAATAATAAAAAGGAAATTAAAAAATGCGCGCGGCGAATTAAATGCGAGAATAATTAGAAAACCTAAAAAATCTAGTTGAAAAATATTTTGTTATTTTTTGAGAAAAGATTAGGTTACGTACAAATTAAACCCTAATTTCTAATTATTTTAGATTATATAAAAAAGGAATTAAATTGCCCTAATTTTAATTAAACTAATTAATTAAAGAAATAGAATATTTTATGAAAAATGATTTTTGATGTTTTTGTGATTTTTGATTTAATGAAAAAAAATGATTTTTGTGTTATTTTGTGAAAAAAGATAATTAGTAAATAATAAAAATAAGAAAGAAATTGAGCCTGTATGGAAGCTGAATGGGGGTGTATTTCTGAATTGTCTGGGCGGAGCGCATGGTGGACGTCTTGATGCGTGGAGCATAGAATCTACAGTTAAATGTTGAGAAAATAACAAAATGTTGGGACCTGGGATCGAACCCAGATCCTCCCACTCAATGCCACGCACACCTTGCCATCTGGGCTACATGTTTTATTTGTCAATATAATAACAACAATGTATATTATATAAAACAAAGTGGATAAAATGGAAAAAATAAAAAGCGCGCGCGTGATTCAAACAAGCCAATGGTGGTCAGCCACGTTAGCTTCTTCTTCCCCTGTCCGTCGTTTTAGGTGTGATACCTTTACCTACGGACAAGCTTCTGTAACTATAACCCTGTAAATTTCAAAAATTCACAACAAGCATGATAAATCAATTGTGAGTACATAGATAAATTCGTCTTGATCTCACGAGCATCATGGTACCCTTTTCTTGGGCCAATTTAACATGTATAGAAAAATCCTAAAACGGCAAGGTAAACCCTAACAATGGCAGTTGGCAATATATGCATCAAAATGCAAAATTAATTAAACTAAAACATTCCAAATGATGATACAAATACAATGCTATGCTTAAAAGTGGTTAATCATGCGTGAATAATCAAACTCAGATTCAAGAGATAAGCCAAACCGTAAGAGTCGTATGTCGTGTTTCTGGGCTTGTGGAAGCTTGCAAATGATTGGAGAGTGTTCTGGAGATATCCAGGAAGCGATTGGCAGCCTTGTAATGCTTTGAATTGTCCTCTAGAGTAGAAACTGATCCACACCTTTTTGCCAAAATTTTGAGTTTTCTTCTCATCGTTCACGAGCTTCAACCCTTCCTTTTTTGCATTGGTTGTGTTCTGTATATGTACTAGGACAAATTAGGTTAACAAAAACAAATTGTATCTTTGAAAATCATGGATATTTGATTTGATTTTGCTCCTTGTATGATATCTTTCCAAAATAGCGTAATCATGCCAATTTTGATTCAATTTGATTTGATTTGATTTGGTCTGATTAATCCAACTTGAATAGATTTGATTCCTACAAAAAAAAACAAATCAAACTCAATCTTTTGTATTTTTGCCATTTATTTGATTTAATTTGAATTTTAAATAATAAAAAATCAAAATAAAATAAATAATGAAGCAAGTAATATGTGGATGATGATTTGGGTCGTGGACCATGTTTCCAACAAGCTTCAATCATGAAAAGCTAGGCCCATTTAACAAAAAATGCACTTTTGAGCATATTTGACTTTTGATAATTTTGCAAAAATGGTCAACTTTGACAAGGCATATCTCCTCCAATTTTAACCATAGAGAGGTGTTCTTGGACTTTTTAGAAAGCTTAGGATGTCCCCTAAACAAAAATTTTGGTTTCATCTCAATTGGGTCTTCCATGTTCATGTAAGAAGCTTTGACCCAAAAGGTGTTTTTGTTGACTTTTCAAAAGGACCTATAATGTAGAAATTCATATCTTTTGATGAGTGCATATTTTTAACTTGTGGGATGAAGATGAGTTGTAGGGAATTGCATCCTATTCAAAATGGGCCTTGGATGTAAAATTTATTATAAAGTATGAAGAATTTATGCCTGGTCAAAGTTTGGTTGACTTTTCCTATGAAACCCTAATTTAGCAACTTTTGGGTTTTGATGAATTTGGGGGCATTCCTTGACGAATCATGATCAACCCTTGATCAAATGATGGATATATCTTCAAAATGTTAATGTTGACCAAAAATATTGAAGTTTGACTGTATGTGGGCCACAGTTGACTTTTGACCTAGTGCAATTGATTTCCAGGCATCTGGGCAATTGACTGAACAAACTTCTTGTGCAAGGCATGAAACTTGACATGGATGATCTTGAGAACATATTGGGACCATGGAAAGCATTTTGGACCCTTGGACTTCAACCATCTTGATGAGGAGTGAAACCCTAGTTTGAAGCTTGTTGCCTTAGGAGGAGGATTTGTCTGGTCAATCCTTAGTCATCCTTGAGCAATTGAGGACCTCTAGAGGCATGTCTTGAGTGAAATGAGAGGGCAAATTTTAGGTTACAACAGTCACTATTATAGTGATTGTCTAGAAAAGCGAA